AGGCAATGACATGAAACCCTGAACCCGAAACCCATCTCCACTACACCCCCCCAACCTCTCAACCCTGTTGTACCTTTGATAAAAGTGCCAAGACCCTCATTTTCACCCTCTTGAGCATGCCTACCATCCGAACTCCTAACAAACACCCCTTGCAAACTCCAAGCCTTAAAGACAGCTAAGCTAAGCCTACGAAGCCCCAAACCCGAAATGAACCGCAGCTAAACCCTGAATCCTAGTGAAGCCTAAGCCGCCGAATGCTCTTTATAAGAACATGAAGGTTGAGGGTTTAGAATATACATTCGTAATTAGTAAGAATAACAAGAATAGGAACAACTATAAGAACAATGAACGTGCGGGCTTCTAGGCTGAAGCACACAGAAGCGTAGGCCAAGTAGACCTGCAGCAAAGGCAACCGGAAAAGAATTCAAGACACCCGCACGATGACCAACGCCTGGCCCCCCACCCCCCCGAAAGCCAAGAGACCTTAAACCCACATACTGCAGAGGGGCATAAACTAAGAATGAAAGAGTACGGTTTTGGGTTATTCTAGTATACTCGTAATTTATATACAGGGTTTAGGGTCTAGGGACAAGGACCCTAAACCCTAAACCCTAAACCCTAAACCCTATAGACCCTAAACCCTAAACCCCTAAACCCTAAACCCCTTTTTTGCCAAATTGCACCAACTGCGGACAAAGGCGCGCCCACCAGGCCCACAAGGCTCGCCGCGCGCGGCCTGCCGATGCGCGGCGGCGTCCGGCAGCAAAGGCGCCACCTTGGAGGAAGGGTCTGTTTAGGGTTTAGGGTTTCGGGTTTAGGGTTTAGGATTTAGGTGCATGTACCCATATAGTACATACTTGGGCGTCAACGGGGTTCCTATACAGTAGCTTCAGAGCCCAAGTATGTACTACATGGGTACATGGAAATTTTAGGGACTGAATCATATTAAATGTTATTAGTATCTTTATTCGGAAAGTAGTAGCCTGTACGAGTGTGTCGTAAGAAAGGGAGGTCGCCCCTGCTCACAGCTCCAAACTATGGAGTATCTGTACCGTGTCTTCTGAAAAAAGTCCAGGTTCACTGTCCCTAAGGGTCCATGTACCCACATAATATACATGTCGGCCCTAAAGCTACTGCATAGGAACCCCGTTAAGGCCCAAGTATATACTACATGGGTACATGCACCCTCTGGGTACCGGTGCGACCCTAAACCCTTAACCCTAAACCCTAGACCCTAGACCCTAGACCCTAAACCCTAAACCCTAAACCCTAAACCCATATAGTTACATGCACCCTGTGGGTTTTCAACAGTCCGGCTGCGGCCGGGGTGCGCTTACCAGCACCTCTGGCGGCTCGGTCGCGCCAACCTCGTGAGCACGAAAGCGAAAAGGCAGGGAGGACCACTGCTTAGGGGGCTTGGAGGGTTTAGGGTTTAGGGTTTAGGGTTGAGGGTTGAGGGTTTAGGGTTCAGGGTTTAGGGTTGAGGGTTGAGGGTTGAGGGTTGAGGGTTGAGGGTACAGGAGCCCTGAACCTCAAACCCAAAGAACTTGACGAGGAACCATGGGGCTGGCAAAGACTTGTAAAGGCACCTTCTTCTACGCTCCGTTCTTGGGGTCCTTCTCTGTACCACAGACCCTTATAGAGTTGAGCCTAACCCTAAACCCCCAAACCCTAAGCAGATATCAGCAGCTTTAGAGGTTACAGCAGGGACCTCAGGAATGGCCTCCTGCATCTGCATCCTGAAAAACCGATCCCCTCTAACTCCGTACTCAGGCCACCACTATGACATTCAAAACTTTCAGAGTGCCGAGAGTGCACTTTTTGCTCTTTGAAGGTTCCTAAACCCTAAACCCCAAACCCTGACCCCTAAACCCTAAACCCCAGACCGTAAACCCCACGGTCAGGGACCCAATACTAACTGTACATTCTTATAACCCAATTTAACCATATTAGGGTTTGGGGTTTAGGGTTTAGGGTTATTATCCCCATACTAACTGTACGTATAACCATATTGTGGCACTTAAGGGGCTCATAAGTGGGGTATCAGTGCAGTTACTAGTTGGTTAATTAGTACCATGAACCTCCAAGAAGACATTGAGGTCAGCTTCCAGACGCTGAAGCGTGCGCCGCTTCCCCGAAAAACCGAAGCCCACAACACCGCGCGCTGCTCACCTTTAGGGTTTAGGGTTTAGGGTTTGGGGTTTAGGGTTTAGGGTTTAGGGTTAGGGTTTCGGGTTTCGGGTTTCGGGTTTCGGGTTTCGGGTTTCGGGTTTCGGGTTTCGGGTTTCGGGTTTCGGGTTTCGGGTTTCGGGTTTCGGGTTTCGGGTTTCGGGTTTAGGTTTGGGGGTTTTAGGGCTTAGGCTTTTGGAGTGCTGGCTCTAGCAGAGGCAGACGCGATTGCCGCATAGACCTAAACCCTAAACCCTAAACCCTAAACCCTAAACCCTAAACCCTAAACCCTAAACCCTGCAACCCTCTAACCCGACAAACCCTGTAACCTAAAACCCTAATCCCCCAACTCTACAATCCTAAGCCCACCCAAACCCTAAACCCTAGAACCCTAAATCCCAAACCCTACACCCTAAACCCGAAACCCCAGCGGTGGTTGCACAATCTCGGCCGCGGACGTAGCAGCACCGTCCCTCAGTCAGCTTCTTCGGGTTTGTTTAACCCTAAGCCTGAAGCCCTAAGCCCGACGCCCTAAGCCCGAAGCCCTACGCCTAAAGCCCAAACCCCTAAATCCCTAAGCCGCAAACCCCAAACCCCAAACCCTAAACCCTAAGCCCTAAGCCCTGAACCCTGAACCCTCAGCCATAAGCCCTAAGCCCTAAACCCTAACCCGAGACCTAAACCCTCTAGGGTTTCGGGCTTGGGGTTTGGGATGTCCAGGGGCCTTAGCTCGGAAAAGCTCCCGCCTCTCCATTTTGAGGGCCCTTGTGGGGCTTTGGGACCCGGGGACTTCTTGCGAGTTCTTAAATTGGGAACATGTGGAAAGTAGGTTTTAGAGTTTAGGGTTTCTGGCAATGATGCATGAGTCCTGCGGACGCACGACAGAGTCAGAAAATGCCGTGGCGCCGGGCGAGATGTTTCCTCCGTCGCCTTCTCCACTTGCAGTTCAACCGCTATGCTGGGGGTCTTGCCAGACAGCGCTCGGCGTATGCGGTGCGACTTGAGTAGCCCCTGTGCTTGCTCGTCGGTGATGTCCTGCCTGGCGCCCAGCGCCAGGGCATCGCCCTTCTTGCTGCCCGGCTCCCAGAGGAAGGTGAAGAGCATGGCAGGGTTTAGGGTTTAGGGTTTAGGGTTTAGGGTTTAGGGTTTAGGGTCTAGGGTCTAGGGTCTGGGGTCTAGGGTCTAGGGTTTAGAGTTTAGGGCTTAAAGGTCGCAAACCTGAATCCGACTGAAGGCTTTCGTGGAATGAGGACAGCCATCCATGGTTCGAAGGCCCTTGGCTCTCAGAAGGAAAGAGAAAAACCCTACTTTGGAGTAGACCCCAAACAGAAGTTGAGACAAGAATCCCTATGTTGCCCTTCTAAGGAATAATGTTGTTCGTACTTTTGGGTGGTTCGTAAGCAAATAGTAGCTTATACCTACTTTGGAGTAGACCCTGGAAAGAAAGCATATACTTTTCAGGTATATGTAGCAATAATAGGAACCCAAACCCAAAACAGTATTCAAGTATACTACTCCAAAACCCAGAAAGGGCCCCGACTGACCAGCATCACGACACTGCGGCCACTGTGCACAGATATCAAAACAGTCCTCGCCTCAAGTCCGAAGCCACCCGCCAAATCGCAATGGCATGCTAGTTGAGTCCGGATGCCGAATTTCAAAATTCCTAACATTGAACCCCCTGACACCCAAGCGGGGACGCTTCCTAAGTAAGATCCTCTTAAACCCAATAAACGGCCCTTCCAAACTAGACCCTCCCAAGCCCGATAAGGAACCCCAAGCCCTAAAGCCTAAACCATCAAACCCTAAACCCCAAACCCTAAGTCCTAAGCCCGCAACCCTAAACCCTAAACCCTAAACCCTAAATCCTAAACCCTAAACCAAAAACCCAAACCAAATGATCCAAGGCCTGGGCCCAAGTTGCTTCGCGTGCTGGCACTGAGCAGGCGCAGGCTCAGCAGCTGCAGGCAGAGGGCTTAGGGCTTGTGGGGGGGCTTGGTTTAGGAACCCTAAGCCCTAAACCCTAAAGGGTTTTAGGGCTTAAGGGTTTGGGGTTTAGGGGCTTGGGGGTTTCAGGGCTTAGGGCGTGGGTTTTGGGGCTTAGGGTTTGGGGGTTTCGGACCTCTTCCAGGGCTTGAAGAGGTCCCCATTTTAGCACAGGTGAGGACATGCTAGGACCATCTGTGAGGCCTGAGACCTCTGAAACCTCTCACTCTCATTATAGGGTTCTTCCGGGAGGGTTCAAGGGGTATGTAACCCAAGGTGTCCCTAATGCTCTCCACTACTCCCTAAGTTCCCGAGGTCCATGAACTCCCTCCCGGAAGGACCCTGTAAACACCTGAAACCTCACACTCTCAAAGCCGAAGCCTAGGGTTTAGGGTTTAGGGTTTAGCGTTTAGGGTTTAGGTTTAGGGCCAAGTTTAGGGCTTAGGGCTTAGGGTTTAGGGTTTACAGCCCTACCTCCGAAGCCCTGCAACCGCTCAGGGCACCAAAGACACGAAAAAGCAAACCCCCCCAAATACTCCTACAGCCCCATAACACCCGCCCCCAAACAAGAAGAAAAAAAACTGAATCACGGCACCCCTCGTCGGGGTTTCGTGACTGGATAATGAAACCTTGAACCAAAAAACGGGAAAGGGCACCACTGGGCTATCAAGACTCTCTAAACCCCAAAACCTAAACCGCCTAAACCCTACACCCTAAACCCTACACCCCAAATCCTAAACCCTAAACCCTAAACCCTAAACCCTAAACCTTAAACCCTAAACCCCAAACCCTAAGCCCTAAACCCACACTGGGCTACCCAAGACTCTCCAACAAAGCAGAGGGACCTCGGTGGAGGCCTTGGCGCGCTCGGCGAGCCTGGGCGGCAGAAAACCCCACAGTCTCAAGGGTTTAAGGTTTAGGGTTTAGGGTTTGGGGTTTAGGGTTTGGGGTTTAGGGTGTGAGGTTTTTGGGTGCCGGGCTGAGGTGGAAAGAAAGGAGTGGCGTCTTGGGTTTCATGGGGTTTACCAGGGAACCAACCCCCTCATAAGAGCTTAGGGTTTTTAGGTTTTGGGGTTTAGGGTGTCAGGGTTTACGGGTTGATAGAGAGTAGTGGCACTACTGGGCACCCTCCTTGTGCAGTCGATGACGACGTCTCCAAATTATGGCTCCAAATTCAACACGGGGACCACCCTAAACCCTAAACCCTAAAGCGTGGGTCTCAGGTTGGGAGCTTCAGGTGCAGGGTCTATAGTAGAAGCCAAAAAATTGGAAACTCAATAGCTTCAATCCCTAAGAGTAAAGCATAGGGAATCCCGGCACTATTTGTCCTTAAAAAGGTTTCCAACTTTTTGGGGATTAACTGTAGGGCTTGGGGAGTTTAGGGCCTTCGGGTTCCGGATACGTACAAGTGCGAGATTGCAACCTGCCTTCTGGCTGCTGCCAACTATGGCACCCTAAACCCTTGGATCAGACCCTCTGATCAAACCCTTAGCTCCAGGGATCTCGTATGGTCTCATGCGCTCGCCTGAACACATCGTTCTGCCCCCGGCACTGGGGCAGGTCTTTTTTGGGGATCCTTCTCAACAAGGGATTCCCACCCGCGCGGTTCCCTGAACAAAAGCTCCGAGAACCCAGGAACTCCTCTCAACTCTGTCCCCTTGCACCAATGCCGACTTCTGGCTATGAGAGGCCGTCGACTCATTCCACAATGCTAGCGCCCCTATAATTACACTACTTCATCATGACATGACCAACCGTTCGTAGAACTGCCCCTGTGAAAGCCATGACTTTTCATGGTCCCCTGCAAATAAAGACTAACGAACAGAAAAGCAGGAGAAACTCTAGACCCTCAGAAACAACGACGTCTGGAGCCGGAACCCTAAACCTAAACCCCCCCCCCGGCCCCAACAAAACCCTACACCCTAGACCCTGAAGCCGAAGCCTGAAGCCAAAACCCTAAACCCTAAACCCTAAACCCTAAACCCTAAACCCCAAACCCTAAACCCTAAACCCCAACCCCCCCCCCTCCCCACCCCTCAAGAACAAGCACCTGGACGATGCATCCGCCGCCGATCGAAGCGCCAGTCGCTCCGAGCTGTGACGGGCCCTCAGATCTTTACACTTTGGGGTTTGGGGTTTGGGGTTCAGGGTTTAGGGTTTAGGGTTTAGGGTTTAGGGTTAGGGTTTAGGGTTTGTGTTTGTGCTTTTGTTTGTGTGTGTGGCGCGATTAGGGTTTAGATTTCAGGGTGTGCAGCCGTGCGCAGAACCCCTCACAGTCGGTGCAACACGAGAAAAAACTCCGCCCTGAAAGCCCCCAAACCCAGACCTTTAGACGTTGCAATGTACCTGAAAAATCCAACCCTAAACCCTCAACCCTAAACCCTTAAACCTGTAAGCCCCAAAACCCCAAAAGCCCTCTCTCCCCAAGCCACACCTCAAGCCGCGAGCTCCTAAATCCAAAACGACCCCTCCGCTCCACAGCAATCCTACAAGTCCCGAAAGTCCTAAAGAGGAACGTGTCTGAAAAGAATTGTGTGGAGTATGTTGCCGCATTTAGTAGGGTAAGGGGCTACTCTTACTTGGTACACCCCTAAACCCTAAACCCTAAACCCTAAACCCTAAACCCTAAACCCTAAACCCTACACCCTAAACCCTGAAGGCATGGCAAACGAGTCTCTTGGCACACTTGTCGGCCTCTTCACGCCAGAGTCCTCAGGAGAACTAGGATGGCCCATAAAAACCCTCTGAAAAATATTCCTGAAACGTGATCCTCTTAAACCCAATAAGGGAAAAAGGAAATGTCCCAAGAGCCTACCTAGAGAAAGTGGTAATGTTGAATCGGCACAAGTTCCCAAGTACCCAGCTTAACACTTAACAAGTACCGGGTTTGTTTGGCGCTTAGAAGCGCTTGGGCTTGTGGCTTGAGATTGTGGGTACGGGATGCTAGTTCTGGCACTCAGCTGCTTATCAGCTATGGCGACTGCTAGGTCTAAACCCTACAACCCTGAACCTTAATGGCAAGCAACATCACCTCTCACGGCAGTCCAAAAAGCGGAGGCTGATCCCTACTACCGTTCGCGAACTTTCACTGCGCCTGAATTCGTTCCCAAACTTCCACAACCTGAAAACAAGACGACCGGGGTTTGGCTGCAGGATTTAGGCTGTTCCTATCGTGGAGCAAGAAACGCCATAGGGTTTAGGGCTTAGGTTTTAGGGTTTACCTGGGACCCTATTTTACCTACAGTTTAGTAGTAAGTACCCCCTACTCAGTAGGCATAACCCTGAAAACTGTAGATAAATAGGGTCCTAGGTAACCCTAAACCCTAAAACCTAAACCCTAAAGGGTTTAAGGCTTCAGGGGCTCTGGGGCTCTAAGTTCCATAGCCCCGGGAGTCGCTATCCTCACGCCCTCTGCCAAGGGGCGCAAAAAATGGCCCAGAAGTTGTTCCTCGCGCAACGTTTAGGGTTTAGGGTTTAGGGTTTAGGGTTTAGGGTTTAGGGTTTAGGACCCTATGCCCCAAGCCCAAAACACCCTGCCTGGCTCCCAGGAGCCCGCAGGCTACAAGAAATTCGCTCCCTCGAAATGTGACAGCCAACCCCAAACCCTGGGCCCCCGGCCTCACACTGCTCCCTTGTACTACTATGTTGTTCATAGAACCTCGAAAAATAGAGGATAGTAATCCCTGTCTTACCCTTATAATCCTTATAAGGAGGAAGCCTCTTTCTTCTAGAAGTTCCTGAGGCAAATAGTGTAGAGTTTTGGGGGCGGTTCTTAAGCAAACTAAACCCTAAACCCTAAGCCCTAAACCCAATAAACCCAATAAACCCTAAACCCTAAACCCTAAAATAGGGGCACGCAAGCATGATAGCACTGTGGCTCGCACCTGCGAGGCATCGCGCCAGGCGCTGAGCAAAGCGTGAGGGACCGGTCCTGTGCTGGGCAGGCTGTTCAGGGTTTAGGGTTTAGGGTTTAGGCGGTTTAGGGTTAGGGTTTAGGGTTTAGGGTTTAGGGTTTAGGGTACAGGGTGTAGGGTTTAGGGTTTAGGGCCTCGGGATCCAGGGTTCAGGGTGGTGGTGTGATGTGGCTCCTATGCCCGAACACGTTCCCAAAAAAAGGGACCCCTAATCTTGACCGTAGGATTCCCTATTTCGGAAACCCCCATGTGTATAAATCAGCAAATAGTGAAGTATGTGTGTGTGTGTAATGTGAACCTCAGGTCGTTAAACAAATCGAAACTATGTATGACTACAGTCTTGATGACCGCGCAGCCTTCGAGAACACCATATCAACTCGTCGTACGTAGTAAAACCGCCAGCGCTGTCCTACAAACTGCTTAAGAACCCTCCCGCAAAAAAAACTTCCTCATAATGGGAATACGGGGATTGTTATCTGATTGGTGGGTTCTTAAGCAAAGCGTATAGTGTCTCGAAATAAAGAACCCCCAAGAAATATCTTTCCTTAAAAGGGCAATACATGGATTCTTATCCTTTCTTTTTTGAGGGGTTCTTAAGCAAAGAGTGGTACTTTGAGACCCCCAAAAAATATGCTTCCTTCTTTTTTCTTTTGGTATTCTTGGGATTGTTATCATTTCTTGGGGGGTTCAGGGTTTAGGGTTTAGGGTTTAGGGTTAGAGTTGTGTCTCAAACGCCACAGGGCGAGCGTCGGAGACGCGATTGCGCCAAGTCCGCTTCCCAGGCGAGCTGCCTGCTGCACGCCCGACACTTTCTTAGGGTTTAGGGTTTAGGGTTTAGGGCTTAGGGCTTAGGGCTTAGGGCTTAGGGCTTAGGGCTTAGGGCTTAGGGCTTAGGGTTTAGGGGGGTTTGGGGTTTAGGGTTTAAGGTTACATGGTCAATTATACTTATGGGCCCTTACAAGGGGAAGCCTGGCTACCCCGTAGATAGCCTCTAGAACCTAAGGGCCCATGCTTTAGGGTTTAGGGTTTAGGGTTTAGGGTTCACCGTTAAAGGAGGTAAGGGGGACCCGATGAAGGGCCCATGAAACGGCCCTTAGACACTGGGAGGTTGCTAAAACATGTGCTCCCTTTTGGGGATTCCTAAGGATGATATGGCTTGGGGCTTTCAAGGTTTAGGGTTTAGGGTTTAAGGTTTTTTTGGGGCCTTAAGGTTGAAAAAGGTTCATAATTTAGAGAACTGCCCCCTCGAATGTTTCTGGAGCTCAAGAGGCACGACTTCGAGGAGGCTTCTTGCAGGCAGACACAACTCTGCACAGCAGAAGTGGGCACCCCAATCCGTAAAAGGATCTGGGGTTTAGAGTTCAGGGTTTGAGGGTGTCGAGTACATGTAGGATGTTGTCGGAATCTCAGATTCAGGTCTGCTGTGGGTCACGAGACGTGGCTTCACGTTGCAGGAACCTCCGAGTCCCAAACTTGGTGTACTGTCAGGCTTTAGCCTCCTTTTCAGCTTCAGGGAGCCCTAAACCCTGAACCCTAGGTGCTTTAGGCCTGCTTTTTTATGGCGACTTTGGGCTTAGGGAGGTTTTGGGGCATCTAGGGTAGGCAGGTCGCCTAGACAAGCGCTTGAGCCACAAAGCCCCCCCCCCCCCCCCCTACCATCCCTTGAAAGGATATGGGGGATACGACCTAAGTCCCTCATTCCAGATTGAGGCTTAGTAAGCCTGAAACTGTTCAGGTCACAAGCCCTGAAACTGTTGAGGATTCTTAGCGCGTCTTCGTCTTCAAAAAGGCGCCAGGAGGCCAGCGTGCTTCCGTTAAGAGACTATCTACAGCGCCTTTTTTTGCCTCTCCTCAGTCGCTGCAGTCAGGATTTAGGGTGGAAGGCCGAATCTTTTTGCGGCCGGCCTCGTTGGCATAGCTGCTGCACTTTTCGCCTAGGGAGCTTAGGGTTTAGGGTTTAGGGTCTAGGGTTTAGGGTTTAGGGTGTAGGGGCACGCAGTACATGCACCTAACAAGGTGGCCTTTCTGGAGACGGGGGAATCCAAATCCTACCCCGAAACCCTCTGAGCCCTCTAAAGCCTTAACCCAAAGGCTCACACCTTCAGTAGGCACTTGTAAGACGTTTACTGCATTTCGCTGCTCCTGACGCCAGAGTTCCAAGGGTGGACCTCATAGGCAGGGGCCCATTGAACGTAGCTCTATAAACATATCAGGAGTACAACCCTACACCCTAAACTACGACAAGGAGATGATCTTGCTGGCTGCTAGCTACGTAGGCTTCTGTACATCCCTGGGCTCGACTTCAGCCGAGTGCTTATTCCACTTTCAATGCGCACACGTGTAGCAGCCTCCTCTGGGGGTTTAAGCATTAGTGTGCGGGGCCTAGGGTCGACTGTTTACGTTGCTTGGTGCATTGCTAGCGCTCGAACAGGTCGAAGGTCGCACGTGAACGGCTAGAGAAGCATGTTTGGTCAGCAGTCAGCCGAAACCAAGATCCTAAACGAAATTGAACGGTGGGGCAGAGGGTGCAATGATGCCAGACTCTGTCAAAATTTAAACCCCAGCTAAACCCAAGGAGTTTCGAACACACGAAGAACCTGCAAGCCATTCAGCACATCTCAGCGGAAGATGATCTGCTACCCCCCGCCCCAGCCCCCCTCCACAACTCCAAGGGCACCCTAAATCCTAAACCCCAAACCTGAAACCCTAAACCCGAAACTCTAAACCCCCAAACCCTAAACCCTAAAGACGCTCTGAGAGCCTGGGAGGATACCCGAGGCTTGACAGACAATTGGCCTCACTGTGGGCCAACTGCCAGCAGCGCAGTGCCTCACGTACCGTGGCTCTCGCCAAGCCTGGCGGAGGACCCAGTCTTCGCACATAGATTTTAAGGTTCAGGGTTTAGGGTTCCCAGCCCCGCTCCCCGAGCCCTAACCCCCCCAAACCCCCCCCCCCCCCCCCCCCCCCCGAAACTCTAAAGCGCCTAAACCCCACGGCCCTCAAGCGCCAAAAGCCTGCACCCTAAACTCCCCTAACCCTAAACCCTGAACCCGAAACCCTAACCAGACGAGCGCTGGCAGACCTTCGCCCCAGGCAGCGGCTAGACGGCTGTGCCTTTGAGTGCAGAGCTGAGTATCCTAGGGTTTAGGGTGCCGACTCTATGCCCTGTGGGTACCCTTTTTCCTTCTTATTCCCTTTTTTCCTCGGTGGTTGTAGGGTTTAGGGTTTAGGGTTTAGCAGGTTTTTGGGCTTAAGGAGGCTCCAAGCTTAGGATTGAGGGTGGTGTTTGGGGGGTACAGTCTTGTGTAAGGCTTTCGGAAGTAGAGCTCAGGCTTTGGGATCTTATAGGCTTGGGTTTCAGGGTTTTGAAGTTTGAAGTTGCCAGGGAAGAGAATTTCGCACCCACGCACCCTAAACCCTAAACCCTAAACCCTAAACCCCAAACCCTACTTTGTCCGTTGTCCTCTTGCTACCCGCCGGGCCTTGGCGCTATTCGCCGGGCCCATGCGCGGAAAACGGCGCGCACGGGCGTGGCCAGGCCTTGGTGTGCAAGAAGACCATCATCTATAGGGTTTTAGGGCTTAGGGCTTAGGTTTTAGGCTTTTTTCAAAACAATGTAAGTACTGTGTCTTACACAGGGTTTGGGGATTTAGGGTTAGGTTTAGGGATTATGGGTTGAGGGGGTTGGGGTTTAGGAAAACAGGTTTCGGGTTTTAGGTCGGTTTCGGGTTTAGGTTCTAGGGCGGGTTAGGGGTTTGGGCTTAGGGCGTAGGGTCCAGAAGCCTCCTGGAAGTGAGATACAGAAGTGCGCTCGAAAGCCCTAAAGACGTCCCTATGCTACACTGCCTCCTGCCACCCTGAGACAAAGTCTGCACACCGTGCACCCGTGTTCATCTGCTCTCCCAAACCCTAAACTGTCGGCTTTTTTCATCCCGGCGGCTGGTTTAGGGTTTAAGGTTTAGGGCGTAGGCACGGGACTTGTGCAAAAGTTGGGACAGTGCAAACTCTTGGTGCAACCTGTTCTCCCAAGGCCATCGTGGAGGGCTGAGAGTTTAGGTGTTTTGGGGGTAGGGGCTTAGGGGCTGCGGAGATGAGGGGTTCAGACGTGAATAGGTGTCAAAAAGTTCAGGGCTTCGGGTGGGCCCTAAACCCTAAACCCTAAACCCCAAACCCCAAACACTAAACCCTACTGTTGAAACGGCCAAGCCTGAAAAGGGCCTGAACCAAGGACCCTAAACCCTAAACCCTAAACCCTAAGTTGAGAATCCTGGTGGTTGCAAGCCGGGGCACTCATCCACTTCAGGAGCAGCTGCTGCGGCATGGCCCGTTCAGGTTTGGCGGCCTCCCAGACATCCGACTAGGGTCCAGGGGTTAACGTTTAGGGTTAGGGGTTCAAGTTGAAAAAATTAGGGGTTGAGGCTTTAGGGTTTAGGGTTTGGGGTTTAGGGCTTGGGGTTTAGGGATTTGGTGCGATGGAAGGCTGTGGTCCGATTCCTTCTTAAAGGGCTGGGAGCCTACAATAGTCTACGATGGGTTTAGGGTTTAGGGTTTAGGGTTGTAGGGTTTAGGGATTAGGGTTTTTTTGGTTTAAGGTTTTAGAGGCACTTCTGCACCAGCCAGCCGTCTCTAAGCAGCAAGCCTCGTGGGTTCGGTTTGCGGTTTACTACACTGAACTTGGAACCCTTGCAGAACATATGTTTCGTTGTTTCGTAGAAATTTTCGTACCCAAAAACTAAACCCCTATCCCCAAGTCTCCCCAAGTAATCCCCAGTGGGCCTGAACAGGAGCGGGAGCTGGCGCCTGTATGTCCGCCTGCTGCGCGCAGGCCTGGATGTGTCCAGAAGGGGAGGAACGGCGGCCTAAACCATGAGGGCGCCTTGGATGCCTCAAGAACCCAAACCAATTTTTGTGTAGGCCACCCAAGAATCCTATAAAGGGTGTTACAATACAAGCCTACAAAAAAGAAGGGTTTGGGGTTCTTAAGGTACCCAATATATTTTTTATCGAGCATCATCTAGAGGCCGCGGCATAACACGGACCCTAAAACGGACAATCGTTTGGATTGGTGAACTGACTTGAATCAGCAAACTAGGCAGAAGGAGGGGTAGCTGCTTTTGACTATTTTGTGCTATTGAGAAGGGCACCGGTTATGCCACAAAAAGGATGCAAGGCAACACTGGTTCTTGTTGTGCATTGACTCATAGAGACCTTAGTTCCTACCTAAAAACCCTAAACCCTAAACCCACCTGATGAAAGCACTTCCTAGAATCCGACTTACCTTGACTTGACCCCACGACATATGCATTTAAAGCCCAACATCCGCGAAACCCGAGGCTCTACCGGCCCCTAAACCCTAAACCCTAAACACCCCGAAACCCTAAACCCTAAACCCAAAATACCCCTAAACCCTAAACCCTAAACACCCCTAAACACCCCTAAGCCCTAAACCTAAGCCGACTTCTGGGGCGGCCATCCTTACACCCTAGACACTTTGAACCCGAAACCCCTGAATTTCTGAAACCCCTGACGC